CAAAACACCATCGCTGGGTTCAATATTGTATAGATCTATGCCAATGTCCGTCCACCAGTCGCCAATTGCTGCTTCTGTCACATCGCATAAGATTCCATCAACATACTCCGGAGCCAGGTTGCCAAACATCATCAAAGCAATCTGACACTGCTTCACAAGCTCTACAACGGCCGAATAAAGCGGGACTCTCTCGCTGGTCCGGTAGAGATGGTAGAACTTGGCCTCAGTTGCTGCCGTTGGTGGTTGTAATTTTAAGCCCGCTCGGCCTGAACAATTCAGCCGTTTCAAGTTTTCGTTCACGATAAAATCATCCTTGTGTTTATGGATATCACCATCAGGCACCGGGATGACTGTAAGAGCTGAAGGAAATGTGCTCAAATCAGTTATGAACAAAGTCCCAAACGGTGTCTCTTTCCTGCGTGCTTCGCATTCTGTAACCGCATCGAAATATAGCTTTAAGCGGGGGGACCAAGTGGATTCATCCGTAGGAACGCTTAGCAATCCCGCTACCACTTTGTGTGAAGGCTCTCCCGTATAAGTCGTAATTATAAAAGTCGGCTGAATCCTCGAACAGGCCCATTGTTCAACAATGTATATCTCATAGCCCTGAAGAATCAAACGTCGGTGCAGCACAATCGTCGAAGGGTCTTCTTCAAGGTATCGGAGCGCGACAGGATCGGTGAAGACGATCCTTTGGTGACCAGGGAGAGACGGTTGCCCGTCAGGACCGTTATGGGATGAAGGACTTTCTCTGGGGCCAACTGATTGTTTTGTAGCCTCGCGCTGCATAGTAGTTGTAGTAGTAGAAGGCGCAGCCTGTGTGCCGTTTTGCGTTGCGGATTGCGACATAGTAGAAACAAAAAGCGCCTACCGAGTTGGTAATGAATGGAGGTTCATGTCCCTGAGGTTTAAACTGAAGAGCGACGAGAAACGTAACCACGAGGAGTGTCCAGAAACCAAGCGCAGCGTAAGGGGAAAGAAAAGGGCTGACCCTCCTGGGGTCTGTGTCGTTCTGTCCAGCAAGCAGGAGAAGATCGTGACATATCCGAGGTGTGTGTGGAGGTCTTTGCGGGCTTATAGTCTGGAACGTGGGGACGAGAAGCGGAAACACGGGTCAGCCATGGCGTTTGTAGACAGCTTGTAGAAAGTATGGCCTCAAGATAAATGTGGCATAGAGAGGGGGGTGGCCATTGTCTTCAGCGACGTCACAGATGCCCATATTTATGGAAGCGGTGAGCGGCTAAGCCACAAATATCAATTCAACCGCCATCTAGATAATCTTCATGACTTGATATTGATTGCTATTACTACCTCTGACTGAATGCGCTATCACTAGTCAACATGTGAAGACGCTTCTAGCCCAGGGTACAGAACGCCACAATCTTCAGCAACCGCCGATAAAAACAGCTGCCTAGTTGCATTTCAGCCACACACCAACAGGTATGTTGAGAATTAGGGGGGTTGAAAGGGCACCGCCACGTATGCCGGTCAGAACGACTTTCGGAAGAGTACTACTAGGAACAAGAACATCCACCAGAACACGCTTCCTGAAGCTTATGCAACTATCTGATTACATACTATCTACAAGATCTGTGTACGAACTCCTCTTCTCTACAGGCCTCCAACATGGGAGGCAAACAGCAGTGAAAAGACCGAGATTCTCGAGTACTTCCCAAATGGGTCGTGACATGAAAGATGCCACAAGACGCACTCTTAAACTAACTCAAATACACGTGAGCTAGGGCAGTTTGTTTTCAAAAATTCCCACCCGACCCGAAGGCCAAGTGGAGTGGTCAAAAAAATAGTTTTCAACTAGCAAAAACACGATCTCGGATGTCTCCTCACTGATACGTGTATTGCCCGTGCACTAGGATGGAGAGGAAAAGAAAAAAAATTCTAAAGATTTGGCGGGTGTCCCGACCTTTTATAGACGGGCCAAGACCTGATAGCCACACTAGCGTAAGCGAGCTGCTTATCGGATCAGCCCTCGATTGTGATTGGTTGTAATTGTAGTTGAGTCAGACGTCCATTTACAACAAAGTCACCTGGGCTCCGTTTCAAGGTATCCATTAGTACGGAGTACTGTAGTTATCCCAGTGCAATCAAACAGCCTGCCATGCTGTAGCCTACTCATGCATCTAGTAAATACTATGTGGAACAAATGCTAAGTATAAAACCAGGATATCACGTCTTTCGATCCATTTTCTGTCTACTCCGTATCTACAATAACTACTCTAACTACTATGAGTATCTTGGATTACAAGTACCAACCCCGCTCTGGGCTCTTGCTCCATTGTATTACTTATGCTTTACTACTAGAAGTCCTGCAAAGAAAGGCAATTGCTTCAGAATGCCGACCTTCTTCACTTTAAGCTTACGTACAGAACGGCGAAATTCAACCTGTAGACCAACTACAGCTCTTTGGGCTTTGGAGCAAAGGGGAGACACAGTAAGCACATTTAGGTGTCATCCGTCCTCAATTGTTTCACAGCAGCCCCTTGGAGGGTTAGCATCGTGCCTGATACGTTGGCAGCGTTGTCAGGAGGGGTAAGGGGAAGCATTCCTACTGCCCCGGAACACGTGACGGTCCATGTCGTAATGCCGTCCCTCCGGCGATAGAGGAAACGACCATCCAACCGACTCACACAACCTCCACTGCATGAACCAGATGACCTAGCTAGCTGGATCTACTAGAGGAACTGTTCCTCTATATTCTTTGCTGTCTTATCACTTATTCAAATACTAAAACTTCAAATATAGCTCCCGTATGGCTATCGCCATATCACGGCGGTAACTTGTCGGACTCCGCTTTTATCACACTACTCCCAGCTTATCACCAACCTCCTGCTTCACCACCATGGAGCTTGTTCAGAAGGAACACGAACGACTGTCGAAGAAGATCAAAGCCGCTCAGAGCATCAAGAATGTGCAAACGACTATAGACTTGCTACAGTCCGCACGAGACGCCATTGCTTCCGGTTGGTTCGCCTCTCTTTAATGTTTCAGATGCCCGCAGTTAGCTTTCATATCCGGCGTGACACTCAAACCAATCATGACTAAATAGTACTTAACTACTTATCAATACTTAGATCCGAGTCAGACGTCTATGACATTGGCCAAGCTTCAGAACTCTGTGAAGTCTTCCTTCGACTCGATAAATGACAGTCTCAAAGACACTCATAGCAGCCTCAACAAGTATTCAAAGGCTTTAGATAAGGTATCGCCCCCCCCAAATTCCAGTCACAAAGAAACCGAGAGATCAAGAGCGTCTAGCTTACATCCTCGTAGCTCTTTAAAGACAGGCCGCTTCCAACCGAACACGATGCCCTCGCCTCCCAAGAGCACCTCATCAACCGAGCTATCGCAATGCATCTCCTCCGAGAAGGACAGTTCTCCGTCGCTGCAACGTTCCTTTCCGAAATGGCGGAGAAGAAGACCATGGAGTCACAGCAACAAGCAGGCACGAGTGCCTCGGAAAATGCAGCGACGCTCTTGGATATAGATGAAGTCCCGTCGAACGAGGTTCGGAAACAGTTTGCCACCATGTACTACATACTACATGAAATGAAAGAGAACAACAACTTGCTCCCGGCAATCCAATGGTCAAGGGATAATAGGGAAGCATTGGAAGCCAGAGGAAGTAACCTTGAATTCGAACTGTGCCGGTTACAGTTTGTCTGGCTTTTTTATGGTGGACCTGACAGGCAGGGACCTGTTCCCACGGGGAGGCAAGAGGCTTTGGAGTATGCCAGGCGCGAATTTCAGAGTTTCTTACCCAGGTATCTCCGGGAGGTTCAACAGCTCATGGGAGCAATGGCTTTTTGTCCCAATCTGCAAGACTCTCCTTACAGGGCCATCTTCAACAACCCCTCTGCGTGGGAAGATGTGGCACACTCTTTCACTCGTGAATTCTGCTCTCTCCTCGGGTTATCTGCTGATTCGCCTCTATACGTCGCTGCTACAGCCGGTGCGATAGCTCTGCCGACACTATTAAAACTGCAAACTATCATGAAAGCGAAGCGGACAGAGTGGACCACAGAAAATGAGCTTCCGGTGAGTGCAGTCTATGTGCTTCCTGTGCTATCTTCCACTAATTGTGTACAATTTAGGTCGAAATACCGCTTCCACCGTCGTATCTCTTCCATTCCATTTTCGTCTGCCCCGTTTCCAAGGAACAAACCACTGATGAAAACCCACCGATGATGATGCCATGTGGTCACGTCATCGCAGAGGAGTCCCTTAAACGGTTATGCAAGGGCAGTAGATTCAAGTGTCCTTATTGCCCTAATGAAAGTCATCCCCGGGAGGCGAGGAAGGTCTTTCTGTAGGACATTTATAGATATGGCTTTTTTTTTTTTTTTGTTTCGGTGGTTGAATGGCGTAATGGCGAGGCATCTCTACACACAGCTTGAACTACAAATGAGAATTGGATTTAGGAGCGTGGGCATGTTACCTCTGGCGTTTGGGTTAATGAACAACTTTCGGACTGGACATGGTTTTAGGGGCTATGAATATTGACAGCCCAAGCATATATCTTCACCAATGTAATGATTAAACTGCTGACTTCGATGTGATGTCTTCAGAGGCTCACGAACTAAACTCATTAGAATTGAAAAAGAAACGAAGAGGGGCAAGCAAAGTAAAAAAGGCCCGGCATGCGATCAACCCCACGTTTCCCCCATCAATGATAGATCCAATTCTCACTCAAGTTTTACCAGCAGAGGGATCTGTGATTGCACAAAATATAAAACATGCAAGTAAGAGATCATCCAAATTCAATTGATGTATCAAGTTTCCAGTCCAAATGAAGCAAACAATTCGCCCATTGCGGTCTTGGGATCCACACCCCCGTTCCCTTTTCCGGAACGTAATTGGGCAATGGCTGCCCCGTGATTGCGCGAGTATTTGGCGATGCACGAAACCACTTTACGCGTGCATTACCCATCCTTACGCGTCTCCAATCATCATCGCAGATAATATTCTCGGCAAAGACAAGAGACGATACCCTTGTCGAGCTGGTTGTTAAGAAGATGGATGAATCAGAAAACATACAAAAGCCTCTGTTTCCCCCGCGCCTTGCTCACAAAATGACTCTACTCCCCAGACCCCTTTTTTTCCACAATCTGTACCGACGGACGTTCATACGGAAGTGGTACATGTATTCTCCATCCGTTTCACAGTTGCCCTGAGCTTTATTAAAGAAAAAAGAACCCCTGAATCCATTATTGCCTATTCCTTTCATATCTCTCCCTCAATCCAAAAGAAATCGTTCCTCCCAAACGCCGACCGAACATCATCAGCGTAGCGATTCCAGAAAAAAATAAAAATAAAAATGCTCTCCACAAAGCGTACACGCACACCACCAGGCAATCCAGATAGTCTATCCTCGAAGTATGGAGCCGGAAAAATTGTATCTCGATGCAGAAAACAGCAGCTGTTGAGGGACAGTCCGTCAGTATCGCGACGCCTAGATAGACGTCAGGGCTCATCCAGCCCTCCAGATGGACGGTAAGAGCCCATGAACAACATAAACCTACTTACATTTGTTTTCACAAAAGCTGAACCGACTCACATATTGCCAGATCACACTCCCCAGCCGTCATAACCCTCTGTGTAGGCCCTCAAAAACGCCTATTCGCAGCCCACAAAGACATCCTATGCGTATCCCCGTTCTTCGCTGCAGCATATACCCAAGCCCAACCGTCAGACTCTCCTAACAGACGGGTTAACCTCCCCGATGAGCAACCGGAGGTGTTTTCGTGTATTCTCGAGTACCTCTACAAGGGCGATTATTACCCCCAGCTGGTGCATAACAAGCAATTGAACTCCTGGGAGCTGGAAGATACAGGGACCGATAAGGATGGTCAGAGTAACGGGGCGACTTTGTTCCATAATGCGGCCGGAGCGGAGATACTGAGAGATACAGCTGTTTAGTATGTGTTTCTTTCACCCTTTTGCTTTCCACTCCTGTTTCTCTGTATAAGGACCCCTCATGAGCGGATAAACTAACCCGAGTACCCCCTGAAATAGCTGCGCAGCAGATAAATACGGCCTAGATCTCCTGAAACGCCTAGCCCTCCGAAAACAAGGCCTACATTCCGGCATCCAATGTAGTACCATCCTCACTAGCGCACGCTACGCTTACAGTAATACCCCCGAGAACGAGTCTAAGATCCGGGCGCATTACCTCGCTTTGATCATTCGGAGTCGGTCGACGTTTAAGCGGAGCGGTACGATGCAGATGGAGATGGAACAGGGAGGGAAAATATTTTTTGATCTTTTTGTTGCGATGTGTAATCATATGGTGAGTTCTCCCTCCCACCCTCCTCCTCCCCTTCCCCTCTCTCTTCTCTTTTTCCTTTTTGTGCTTGGAGGCGGCTTACAGTATGTGGTTGTCACTAACATTCGTGGTAGGATGATCTTGAGTCTAAGGCTGAGCCTTCTCCAGGTTGTTGATATCCACTGGTTTGGAGTATTTGTGTGACTTTGGTTATTTGATATTTAATGTATGATGGGATGTTATGAGGGTAATATTCTCATTGAATGGTCGATTCTCTTTAGCCTGCTATTTGTATTATTTTGGCTCTTGGTTAAGAGTCGATGCAGGCTGTCTTGGCTTGATGTCATCTTGGATCTACGCTAAACAGCGTGTTATTTACCTCAGACGGAATGGGGTGCTTTTATAGTAGTAGATATATAAATATAATTCTATGTACTATTTTTTTTTTTTCAATTCTTCACATCTTGTATCAGATATACTGTGTAAATGTAAGCCAAAGATAGATTATCGCCCATGGTAAGAGATCCTTTGGTACAATATTGATATTCTGAAACCAATGTAGTGCATCTGCTCGTCGTAAATCATGCAAACTTCTATATTTGGGTCATTGAAGATGCCATTTCTCTCTCTTGGAGCAATCGTCGAAGCTATCAATTGAGCAAGAAGACTCTGAATGACTGGTATTCCGTAGTCCGTCATGTTCCGTTACTGTTCATGTCGCAAAAGCTATGTTGTGAATCTAGTCATCAAGGTTCGTGTAGTAGTTGGACTAGAGTTGAAATCTGTGCATAGCGCAAGGGGCTAAAAGATCTGGTGGGGGTCGTAAATGCTGAGCAGCGCAAGTTGATAACTGGATCATCTGCATCCAGGACCGTTCGGATAATGATCCTCTGATGATCGAAGTTTCTGACGGTATGTGCAGGGAATATGGACGAGATTAAGTAGATAATCGGCGCTAACATGCCTCTCGTCTTAAGCTGGCTGTATCGCTCTTAGACACCGGTTCCCGGGAACGCAGTGCCACCCTTGCTTAGAACCACCATGCCGCGCTCCCGAGCAATATAGCCTTTCATAAGACCCTATTTGTTGTCAGTGGCCGATAATCTTTCGCGTAGCATAGGCGTCGTATAGACTACTTGGGGAAGGTTTGCAGAACTTACCTTGTAAATGAGGTTCGATAGCAAACACTCAACCTCGTCAATATCAACCCGAGATCTATCATCTGCATGTGTACCTATCCTCAATGCTGCCGCGAACTCAGCAACAGGAACACGTGTACGTCGAATCGGCGGCTGGCCATCCTTAGGTTCTTCAAAACCTCCAGCAATGAAGACCTTGCGGAATAGGTTTCGCAAGGCGATATCACGTCCTCTTTCGAGAGGCAGGTAGATGCGCCGCTTAACAAATTCTTCCTCTCCTGCTGTCATAGCATTGTCGAAGCCATTGAGATCGCCCTTCATGATACAGTTGCAAAGTGGACGGAACAGCCTCTCGAGTCTGGGAAATGGGGCAAGAAGCTTCTTGCTTGGTAAAGTATGTGTCGTGACAAGGTGACAAGGGATAAGATAAGCAAGGATCATTCTCCAAAAGGTTAGTTAGGTTACTTGAGCGGGAGTTACTACACTCACTCCCTGTTCTTGACTGCATCTTTGTGACACATGTTCCATGCGTATGCAAGATGCTCTTCGGCCTGTCCGAACGCAAGAGTTAGCCTCAGAGGCCGACAAAGCCCGGGGTTGCTATTTACCTCTGCATAATTTTCATCCAGAAAGTGAATCAACCCAACATAATATTTGAAGGTGACTATGTGAGATTTGGGGAAGACCTCCATATCTGGAAGGTCTGCCGATGAAGCGTTGAGCGCGCGAAGAAGATTCTTGGAAAGTGAGACAGAATTGATCTGGTACATCGTCAGCTACATGCATAATGCCGTGGTGGTGATGTTTCCCGTACCTTGAAATAAGTTTTGAACAGCAGATTTGTCGTATTATATATGCCCCATTTGCGCGACTCCTCAATCGGGGCTCTAGTTCGGTGATTAGCAACGGACTACAACTCATGCGGCCGCGTGTGAAACCCACCTGTCACTTAGACATAGAGTAAACATTCGGTTAATTATGCGAGCCGATTCCTCAAGCTTTGCGCTCTTTTCGAAATCGGCCGCTATGTCATCCTGGAAATTATCACCGAATGCAACCGAATCTTGAGACGACAGTTCGGCGTCTGCTCTCATGGCGAAGATTCGCAAGTATTTTCCAACGATGTATAGACATGGAACTGTCCATGCCTGAAGACCGAAGTTCGTATACCCCCTAATGAGAATATTTGCCAAGTCTTTCCAAGAGTTGAAGACCTTAACCCAGCTCGCGCTTGACGGAGAATCAGTGAGTTTGATAATCTCTCCGACGGCGGTCCAGTAAGTTGAAAAGATATCGATCCATGCGTTTTGTTCTTGTTTCGGTAACTTTAACCCATTGGCCTGAAAAAGAGAATAACGGAGGTCTGAGGATACACGTGCGGCATTGGAGAAGCGGTAGAACGATTGGAGTCGTTGGGGGTACTCGGCGGGGGCAACGGGAGTGAGAGCAGCAGCAAGGCGAGGGCCAGAGCCAAGTCGCTGGCCTTGTACGAAGTCCTCAAAGATGGTGGCCATGGTGATATGTTCATGAATCAATCATAAACTTTTAGTGTCGGTTTAGAAAGTCGGGCCCATACCGCAGGTTTCCGGGCACTTGAGCGGAGATGGAAGCACGATATGCTTCCTCCGTACTCCGTACAGGTGCAAACATGAGGTGGGGAACGATACCTCACCGCCGACGGGACCGATCTTATCAGCCACAGTGGCTGCGAGCCCAATTGGGAATGGTGTCCCGTGCCAAGCCTCAAGGTCGCTTAGGGTGGCAGCCCTAACTCAACGGAAATCACAAATCCCCAATTTCACGAACGAGACCCAACCGGCATACCTCTCTCGAGCAACCACAACAGTCGACAAAAGTGAGTCCTACCCTGCTTATCTATCCACCATATTTGAAGGTTTTGTTGCTAACAGATTTACCAGATGGGTAAGTGAAAAAAATTTTTCCCTTCTTCGGACCCCTTTACCCTGGCGAATCGGTGCGGTATATCCCCTTGCGAACGTTGAACGACACAATGCCGGAGAGAAGATGTATCGAGGAGGAGCATGAGAATCATATGGTCTCGATTCAGCGAAAGCGATGATGGTGGATTTTTATGGAAAGGGTTTTAGTACGAATGGACGTTACGCACGGTCGGAAAGTTGGAATTTTTACGGTCGCATATCGTGGAAAATATTCTCGACTCGAACCTCGAAATTTGTGACAGCGTATCGCACGGAATTTATCGCACCGATTCTCGCCATTGGGATGATTGAACGCCACGAATTGAAGATTTTAAAATGTGCCAAAATGACTGACTGGTTATTATAGGGCGTCTCACCGAGTACCAGGTCATCGGGCGTCATCTGCCCACCGAGGCTAACCCCACGCCCAAGCTTTACCGCATGCGCATCTTTGCGCCTAACACTGTCGTGGCCAAGTCCCGGTTCTGGTACTTCTTGACCCAGCTCCGTAAGGTCAAGAAGGCCAACGGTGAGATCGTCAGCCTCAATGTCATCCCCGAGAAGCGTCACCTGAAGGTCAAGAACTTCGGTATCTGGATCCGCTACGACTCTCGCTCCGGTACCCACAACATGTACAAGGAGTTCCGTGAGATGAGCCGTACCGAGGCTGTTGAGGCTCTCTACCAGGACATGGCTGCCCGCCACCGTGCCCGTTTCGGCTCCATCCACGTATGTTTTCTGCTGATGGCGGACGATGGTTAATTTGAGTTGGACTAACGATACTGTGCAGATCCTCAAGGTTGTTGAGGTCGACAACGTTGACTCCATCCGCCGCCCCTACATCAAGCAGCTCCTCCAGAAGGACCTCAAGTTCCCTCTGCCTCACCGTGCCGCCAAGACCGAGGGCAAGAAGATCTTCGCTTACTCTCGTCCTGCTACCTTCGCTTAAATGTGAAATTTTGGGTGTTCGGGGAAGGAGTGTGCGGATGAAATGACTATGTTATGGCCATAGCATGCATGCAGGACAGAGCACGCAGAGAACATGGCGTGTATCTACAACCCAGATAATGGGAGAAATGGTTTTGATGTCTCACTAGTCCTCTGCAGCGACCTTTCTAGTTAAATTCTCTAAAAATACCGGGTTTGTCTTCTGAATGTGACGGTTCTCTACGAGGTGAATGAAGTAAATTTCCTGCTGGTAGACAGGTCATTCCCCCTACGTACACAGTATATTCTACGCTCAGCTTGGCTTTATTTAGTCGATAAGATACCGAAGCCATTATAGGTATGCTACTCATAGACTATACAATGTGCAATATGTCAGCATATACCGGCTATATCTGTTGGATAGACACGTCAAGGCCAGCAGGGTTGCATCGCGCCGGTCTGTCCTTATTTCTCCCAGTTTCAATATACACTGGAGTACTCCGTATATAATTTGAGACACTAGGACTACTAATGCTTGATCGGATATATTTCTAATCGGCTCGGATATATGGTTCGGACTCTCTATGACCGCGGAAAAATATCTTCCACGTACTTTAAACACTGCGTAACCCGCCGGCCCTATGGCAAGCAATTTAGATTCTTAGTTGTCCCCATAGTCATGCGACTTATCAGGGCAATCATGCAGCGAAATGCAACGGAATTGAAGTCGCGGGTTAGTAATAAGCACGGAATGAAGGCCAGGGACCCCTAGGGCAGGTATTGCGTCATGTGTAATCGGCGAGGTCGGAGGGCGGGTCCCGAAAACGAAAAGAGAGCTCAGTTAACGTAAGGTACTTTAGTTAGTAGTTCTCCAGCCGTCTTTCTAATCTTCTCGCTTTCTCCTCTTACCCCATTGAACACCCCCTCCACTCTCATTCACTTTAAAAAAAAAAAATGTTCGCCCGTCAGACCTTCCGCTGCGCCCAGCCCTTGAGGCAGGTAAGGACCATTGCGCTTTTCTCATACTTGTTCCGGATTTGTGCTGACCCGTGTGCGTAGAGTTTCCGCAAGTACTCTACGGAGGCTCCCAAGGCCAAGTCGCTGGCTCCTATCTACACTGCTGTCGGCCTTACCGGTCTCAGTGTGGGCCTGTACCGCTACTACTACGGCGCTGCTGCTACCGCTGAGGCTCCCGTCGAGCGCGCCAAGGTTTTCACCGGTGGTGACCAGGGATGGGTGGACCTGAAGCTGTCGGAAATTGAGGTCCTCAGCCACAACACCAAGAGACTGCGATTCGAATTCGAGGACAAGGAAGCCGTCTCCGGTGTCACTATTGCTTGTGAGTGGTTCGAACTATGGTCTGCCCGAATAGCCTTATTGACGAAAAACCAGCTGCTCTCTTGACCAAGTTCAAGCCCGTTGGCGCCGAGAAGGCCGTCCTCCGTCCTTACACCCCCACCAGCGATGAAGGTAAACCATTTGCCCTTTCATAACCATAATATAAAAGTAAATAAATACTTATCACCGTGGCAGACCAGCCTGGCTACCTCGACCTTGTCGTCAAGGTCTACCCCAACGGACCCATGTCTGAGCACATTCACAGCATGAACGTTGACCAGCGTCTTTCCTTCAAGGGCCCTCTCCCCAAGTACCAGTGGGAGACCAACAAGCATGAGCACATTGCCCTGATTGCCGGTGGTACCGGTATCACTCCCATGTACCAGCTCATCCGCCAGATCTTCAAGAACCCCGAGGACAAGACCAAGGTTACCCTTGTCTACGGTAACGTCAGCGAGGATGACATCCTTCTGAAGAAGGAACTCCAGGATCTTGAGAACACCTACCCCCAACGCTTCAAGGCTTTCTACCTCCTCGACAAGCCTCCCAAGGAGTGGACCGGCGGCCAGGGCTACATCACCAAGGAGCTCTTGAAGACCGTCCTTCCGGAGCCCAAGGAGGAGAACCAGAAGATCTTCGTCTGCGGACCTCCTGGCCTCTACAACGCTGTCAGCGGTAACAAGGTCAGCCCTAAGGACCAGGGTGAGCTGTCTGGTATCCTGAAGGAGCTGGGCTACAACAAGGACCAGGTCTACAAGTTCTAGATACATAGATCGTTGTTAGATATAGATATGGAAGATATCAGTGTATTTTTTTTTGAATCTAAAACATGTTCAATTACGGAATATCCCTTGACAAACAGACTAGCCTAAACGAACACGCACCATCTAGACAAGTAATACAAGCATATCACAATTAGCGTTAGGATAGTTATATTCAGCCCTACAAGAGCACAATAGCAAGGAATATAAATATATACATCCAATCAACCCCACGACCACAAACAAAAAAAAAAAGAAAAGAAAAAAACAGAAGAAAAAGGAAAAGGAAAAGGAAAAGAAAAGAGAGAGAAATCACTGATCCCTAGCCTCCAAACACCCCTCCACCATCCCATCCACCGCCCTCTCCCTAACCGCAGCAGACAAAACCCCCCTCTCAACCAACATCATCAACGCATCCCCGACCCAATTCTGACAATTCCAATCCAAATCCTCCCTCCCATTCCTCACTGGCGTCGCCGACACCGCCCGCCGAATCGTCTCCGGACTCACGTCCCCATCGATCTCCCCGACGACCACCGTCTTCGCCAACTCGCTCCCAAACTCATGCGGATCGAGGTCCACGTCTTCTTGGAAGATGAACAGACCCTGTGTGCCGACCACATGCATCGTGCTGGTTGTGCCGCTCACAAACGTGAAGTGGAGTGCTGTGTGGCGGTATTCGGGGTAGTCGAGGGGTGAGCCCGTGTAGATTAGGATGGTGGCTTTTGTGGACATTTTTTGGATAGTGGGTGAGGGTGTTTGTTGTTGTGTTTCTGGTATTTATTGTACTTATTTTATTATGTTTTTTTTTTTTTTTTTTTGGTGGTGACGGGAGTAGTAATAGTGAGGGGGTTGTTTGTGGTGGGGTAATTATATATATATATATATATATTTTTTTTTACGATTATGTTGGAAGTTGGGTCTAATATATATTAAGAAGAAGGAGGTGGTGAATGTTGTAGGTGGTGGTTTGCTTGTTGGATTTAATTGTTCGTATTGTGTTAAAGTGGCAGATGGTGCCAAGAACTTTGTTATCGTACTTGATAAATTAAATCTTGACTTTATTTTGTGAGTTTGTTTTGATGGTGTTGGGATTGGAAATTGGGTTGTTGGAGTGGGGATTTATTCTGTTGTTCATGGTTTTTTTTTTTTTTCTTATTATTGTTCAGTGTGTCGCTTACGGAGTACTTGCAGTACAGGACTTTACTATTTTATTTTGAACTGAGTGATATATTCATCCATATCTTCATTTGTTTAAACCATATCTCATCTAACCCTATATCCAAACCCATCACATATTATATACCCAGGAAAATATAAATAACAAAAAAAAAAGAAGAAAATATTTATCCCCAGTTTCCGACCTCTATTTACATCCACTTCCTCTGGACTCCCTTAGGAGCATGTTCCGCCCGCCAGCATGGGAGCCATTTCTTCAAAGCAAGGCTGAACAACTTCCGCGACTTATCAGCCGGCTTATAACTCAAGTCATAGTCAAAGCAATGCTCGGCCCTCGGAATGACATAGCCGAAGAGTACATTCTCAGGAGTTTCGACACCACATTTGGGGATATTGGTGGAAATCTGCACACCCTTCGGCGCGAATGTCTCGTTCGACAAGGGCGTCAATGTCCGCCAGGGGTCGAACTCGCCTGCACTCCAGAAGACATTGGAAGGACGGATGGTCCACCCGCCTGTTTCGGCATTTGTCTCTTTCGCCTCCGGGTGTTCGGGGAGCAGGCCGCTCTCCTTTGCGCCGGGGAACTGTCGGTAGCAAAGGGACTGCTGGTATGCCAGGGACTGGTATTTAGAGAGCAGGGAGTGGGGGCCCACGTTGTCGGCCTGGAGGTAGCCCCATTCGGTGCAATACTGCCAGGTCCAGCTGATGGTGTCGGGGTCGGTGAACTGTCCGCCCAGCTCGCAGATGGTCTCGGTGGAATTGTTCTGGCCCTTGCAGTTGGAGTTGCCGTCACCGACCTGGCTGCCCCACTGGTTGATGAGGTACAGGAGCGGGGGCCAGGCGGCGAATTTCTCAGTCAGTTCCTTGACTCCGACTTTCCGGGCGATGCCGTTGGGACTGGCGTTTTTGTCGAGGTAGCTGCAGAGTTGGGACAGACTCTCTTCGCCGCCTTCGACGCCGTAGCTCTGGAAGAGGTTGTAGATGCTTCCAAGCGCGGCAGTGAAGTCGCCGTTGGAGTTGGGGATGCCTTCCTTGCCGAGGAAGAGTTCCTTGATGGCGTCGGCGGCTTGGCCCTTCTTGTCTAGTTGGCTGTCGATGTAGTCGTTGATGGCCTTGAGGTCCTTGGCGCAGCCGCCCAATCCGTTCGCAACCATGCCGCGGTAGACTTGCTCGAAGTAGATGGTCATGTTGACGCGGGCTTCGACGGGAGCGGACATGGCGAACGAGGCGAAGATGGTGTCCGGGTACTCGTTGCGAGTGAACGCTGCGCGCATGCCCGGGTATGAGCCACCGAGCATGACCCAGGGAGTAGACTTGGGGCTCAAGTCCGTCCCGTTGAGAGTGAATTTCTCAGCGAAGTAAGGAAGGTCGGCTAGTGCTTGGCTGTTGGTGAGGTACTTGAAATGCTCGTTGGGGGTGCTAGTGTTGACAGGGAAGGGCAGAGAGTCACCATAGTAACTTCAGTCGGACTGGACGTTAGCGGTCAAGCACTAGATGATGGCTATGGTAGGGGTTCTCACCGATGCTCCCACACCAGACCAAGCCCATGGAATTCCTTCAGGTACTCCGCGAAGAAGTTGTCCGATCCGCCGAGATACGATTGCGCGACGGAGTAGGCATTGCCTTCACCGGCGTCTAGAACAAAGACGGGACCACCAGGCTTGTAGAAGTCCGTTGAAACCCAGTAGCGGTTCTGATAGGTACCCACAGATGGATCCTCATGATCAATCGGGATCTAAATGCCGAGTTAGACACCATCTCATATTTTAGAAAGCTTGATAGGTAAAAAAAAACAAACAAAAAACATACCGATATCCGCCGGGCGGGTACCTCTGAGCCAGAACCGCGGGAAACAGCGGTCTCTGCGATCTTTTCAGGATTGAACCTGGCGGTATGGCCATCAATACCTAGTACCGAAGCGAGTTGCAGGTTGTTGGCCTTGATGCCGGGGAGAAAGCCTAGGGCAGCAGACTGGCCCACCAGCAGTGTGAGGAGGGCCTTCGAAAATGTGAGCTTGAGGGACACCATTATGGATCACTCGCTATGATGCTTTTGGGTCTTGAATTAACAAGATGTCGCTGAGGGCGAACTCACTTACTTATAGCTTATCGGCCGCGGCTAGACCCATGCATCTTGTTCCCTGTTAGTTCCTCATTCAGTGCGGAGAATATGACTAGCACCCATTTTCATGTCTGGCTAAGTGATACTACCCTGCACGGAAGTGAAATTGCCTGAACAGTGATCGGCGCGAGGCTTATATTGACATTGGGTCCACGTTTGTCGGGGCGTTCATAATGGAACGAATTACCGTCTTCGTTTTAAAGAATCGACTAGTCATACGGTGCTCGTTCATGCGGTGGGGCATCAGTAGTGTGGGTGATGGTCTGTTCAGCGAGAGTTGGGACAGTTGAACAGACCGCCTCTGAGCCTCAAGCATGCACAAGGCTGTGTGATATGGGATTTTCCCAAAGAGGATGTGATTGACTAAGTCCAGTCGATGAGATGCATAGCCTGGGGCCAAAAAGAGCCTATTCCTTAGCCATCCGAAGAATCGAATTGTTGCCTGATATTTGGAAAAAACGGTCCTGTCAACTTCCAGGGTCCAGTGCCTGCAGATCTCTTGACAAATTAGGGAAAATAATATAATTGTAACGTTGTTATCTGAATCGATTTAAATTGATATTGATGGGTCGTAACTAGATCACATTTAGTTAGCCCTAATATAGTTCTTAGTACTTGTAAATACTACTCAGACACGGCTTGTTCGGAATCCCCATCTTAATCCGAATGAAGTCTTCTTGTTTCTCTGTCTGTCAATATACCATCGCATCTCCATGTCCATACTCACTACCCTCGTGTTAGAAAATGCGATCAACATGAAGGATGTCTTGGGGGCCATGCCTGGATTTATTTTTAATTCTGACTGTGCACCATCCAACGAGGCTGTTCAGCGAGTGCCCAAGCGTATCTTCCGAATCCCCTCGACTAAAAGACTTGGCAATTGAAACCCGCCCAATCGAACGGGGTCACTCCACATTCATCCGAGTGAAAATGTTCCTCAGGGTTCGGCGCAGACACGGAGTCCGAGCCCATTGCTCAGCAAATCACCAATCGATCTTTCTCCCTCCTTCCCCACAATGCAAAAGGTGGGATCTTTGGAAGAAGTACCTCGCACGGCGTACTGACAACGGACATTTTCTGCATCAGGCTGAGCTTATAGAGCTTAGTAGCGGATGACATGGACGGCTATGATTTGTGTTGCGCACAGCCTCCACCAGGTTTCTCTTAGCTTATGCTTTTTCCCTGATTGGGCACGTCGAATGAATGGAAGTGTAATCCATTACCTTTGCTGTTGACATCTCTTCAAGGATAGTGGGCTGGATACATGATGTTGCCCTAGAGGATGATACCCAATTTATCCGTGTAGGGTTCTTAAGTTATCTTGGGTACTTGGGACAATGTATTCTAGCGGCATAATCATTGTGCGTATTGTAGAGGTAGTATTACCGCTGATTTCCATTTGGTGGTATATCTCATCAAGGATGTATCATGCACGGCGAATGAGGCCACGGAGAGTGTATTTTCTGTGAGGGAGTTTTGATTAAATTGCTCGTATTGACGCTGAAGGGGTTGCACAACACAATGCTTCTAGAATTTCTGAGTTGTAAGCCTTGTGTCGATCTTGACGATCTGATCTCCCTCCGGACTCCATTTGTACTCTTCAAATAAGGATAATACTGTTCAGAGCCTCTCGGTCCATACAGACTAGATAACGGCAGTCGACAGTTAACCCCGAGCTAAAGACTAAAATGCCCTTCGGGGCTGTGCGCTCTGACAGCCGAAAACCGGAAAGGATAAAGCAACTGCTAGCTGTGAACAGCCTTTGGGTGAGGGGCTCACTGGATTGCACCTTAAAGAGCACTTTTCGATCGAGGATAGTCTTTGCCAAGTAGATAACCAACCTTCTCAGCCTCCCATCGCACCCTGGGAGTTGCTGTGGTTGTGCGACTCCTTAGAAGCAACGCCATGATTAGACTGAATGTCGGGAATCAACCCATATGATGCTCAGTCCTTGAGGGATCATGGCACTACCTCGCTCCTACTAATATGGACTGCTAGAAGAGTCGTTCTTTTGCACATCTAACCCTGGGAACGATCTAACCAGCCAATGCACCGACTCGTTGAAGACCAGCTGTCGGGGCAAGGGACTGTTTCGTATTGCTTTGGAACGGGTATTGGCTGATACTGACAAGTTAACAGCAGATACTGGAGAGGATAAGGATATGCATCACTATGAGGAAATGGAGAAAAGGAAACGCATGGGTGCTGTAAAATATCAACCAGGAACTAGCATTCTATATCAAAGCTTTAACAACCAACTCAACCGATCCAGGTATAAGGATTGCGATTTGATATCATTTCCATTAGTTGATATCGTATCATTTCCCTAATATGTTGTCCCACGTTCTAGTCTACGACGACAACCCTTTTCTGACCTACTCCGTAAATCCATCGAATTCATTACAGTGCCTAAATCACATATGACTGAGCTTGCTTATATATCCCCGCACTACCTCCAGGCTTCTCTCCATAGACTCCTACATATTTGTCACAAAAAGCAACTACTATGGCAGACAGCACTAGCGATCCAGCACCAAGCGTTGTGTTTACTGACGAACTCAATCATCCGAAACGTGTCATCTTACGAATCCGTGCAAAAAGGACTTTGACAAGTGGACCTGGGATGATTCCGATAGTACTATAAAAGCATATCTTGGCCTTTTCAGGGCGCCCAGTCGAGAAATTTGACCAAGATATTCATCACTCACACCTCCAAACCCCTTTGGTAGTAGTACGGGGATATTTCTTTATAATCCTTGATCTTCACAAGGATCTACGAAAGTTAAGATTCTCTAGTGAAATAATTTTTCCATGGGGGTGAATCATGGCTGGAAGTTAGGGATTTGGAAAATTACTGAATCCGTTGCTTAAGGATGAATTTAATTACTATCAATGTTGTTGAGTGAGTGAGTGACCACCCCCTCAATCTCCTCCACTGTGTCAGGCAACTTAATACCTTCCTCGCCCCATAATTAATCGCGAATCGGGTTTTACCTGACATGAAGAAGATGAGTATCTAGATGCCTCGCTTATCTACTTATTCTGTTAGAGCTAAGTAACCTTAACTCTGGCAGTTTTATGGGTCCTATGGATTGGGTTATCAATAAGCCTGCGGTTTGTAAAACCAAGTGTCTGCCGCTCCCGCGTAGTCGGTGTTCCTCATAGTTCCAAGATTTTATCTTTATGTCTGTTTCCATTCTTGTGAGTTTGCGAATACCGGATATTAAAGACGTCAGATGTTACTGAAAGCTTTGCCAATGGCGTTACAAGGATTGATTTTATGGAGAAGGCGATAGTAAGTAATGCGTAGATAGTGAAGTTGGCGCAAGAGATCTTCAGCGGCGGTGATCGCGGTAAGTACAGGTTGGTTCCGGTTCTCAGGAGCAGGTTTAGGAATGCGTTTGAGCTCAGTGGTGTAAATGATCTAAACGGTCGCTGGAGGTGGATATAGTGTCCGCGTCTTTCCGTGCAACCGCTGACGTTGGAGGCCGTGACGGCGATCCCATAAGGCTATTGGTATCGGTTGCTTTAGGGTGGAAGTTGGGATTGCGCAAGATATTCGCTCCCATCTTCTTGTCCGCGATGATATCCTCATCGCTGCTGATGGTATGCACCTTTTGAGGCAGAGAGGCAGACTACATAGACACGTACTTTTGGACAGTGAGCACGTCGCCGGCCCACGTTAGTGAACACAAGATGCGCATGTCGGGAATTGAATCCTTGGCGTAATAACACAATGCTTGGAGATTTGCTTTCTTCAGTCCGGAATGGTACTATAGCAATCCCTATGCGATTGCAAAAGGCGTGACTTGTATAAACAGTATCACCTCCATGCCTCGGCTGACATGGGTGGGTGGCCTCATGATCGACGCGCCGGACGGCCAGACCTGCGATGATGGAAATCTATACTCGGGTTTAGCCTGCATGAGGTTGTACATTGCAGACATGATGCTTTTGATCCTGAGAAAAGCCCAGACTAAGTTCTTCAGACGATCTGACTACATTGACGTTGGTCCGATTCGTGAAGCCTAGCTAGACTTCAGATTAGCAACAGGATATCCAGTATGTGTGGAATAATGCCACCGTAACAAGGCATGACGACACTCAAGTGATTGCCTGGTTGTCGGCATATGGGGTTGTGTAGAAAACTTAAAGAAAGATGCCAAGTATAGAGCTTACTTTACTTTTGGATAGGAGAGACTCTTCAGGAACCCACAGAACCCAACCCAACCACGAGGCCATTAGGGTTGTTATGTTGTCTATCCTTAACTTGTAGTATTTTTTAAGGCATATGAGCCTTTTACTGGGCTAAGGCCAAGATGTAATCTGGAGAAGTGTTTTAGTATGTAAGATCAGTCCTTGGAAGGCCTTTGTAGACATCTGTGAAGGTCGTCTAATCAGGCCGGTGAACCACCTGTTTCTCATGTAACTGGCCTGGATTTGCCATCTTCCAAGTATAGCATGGGGAGTAGCATTAAATCCCGGAAGCGTCCTGCCCGAACTTCCTTCAGGTTAGGCATTTTAGTGAATGATGACCTCGCAGTTAAGGCATGGGCAAACGTCAAGGAAGGCATCTCCTTTGCCACCGCTCTTGTACCTTCCAACTCCTATACCTGACCTTCTTATCCCTGGCGGTATGCTCTTGTCTAGTACACCTCTTCACTCTTCCTTTGGATATCCATGCGCGTATTCTCTATACTTCCGTACAAGGTCTTCGTAGTCTGATTCCCCACTGATAATAACCTTTTGCGACAGGAAAGAGATCAATAGGGTTTCAAAATCCAGGCGCATAATTTGGGCTTGGGAAAGAGGCAAGCGACCTCCGTTCTCGAAGAACGACTTAAAGAATAAGGGCTGTCCTCATTCTCGCAAGAGCCTTATTCTCGAGGCTGCCGTCAGTCACGATCGTCAGATCGTTAAGGTCTTTGACTACAAGGATACTCAATCAATATATCATCCCATTCGAGTCAGGATAGCTTGCCCAGCCTTGTGGGAAGTGGGATTTCCCAGGACATGAAGTTCATAAGCACCGGTGTGTTAGGAATTCCAAAATACTTTTCCACATACTCCATACTCACGTTGCTGTATGCTATTGACGTATGCTCTTTCTTTAAGTGATCTATGATATTATCCGAAGCCTTTATTAATGACTCCGATTCTTCAAGGCTCATACCCTCTGGGAGGTATTTCCGCGGTTCAAGGAAAGCCTTGACCTTCTTCAGCATCTCCTCTAGCTTCTTGAATGGATTTTTGGATGGCATCTTGGGTATACTGGATGGTGAAGGTAATATGTTGACCTCACAATCCCATACCGAGCACGATCTAAGACGGACAGCCAGGATCTTACCCCTTCATTGACAGTGTAGCCTCCTGTTGAGGCGGCAAGACATAACTCCCACCTGTTTGTCCATAGACATTTATATGGTTGCGGGCCACGGTGGATGTAAGTACGCGTGCCTTGACGTCAAACTCGCGCGTACTTCCGTGGCACTTTTGAACGTATAGATGTAATGTCCTGAGTATGAGAATGGCATCGTGGAGATTTCAAATACGCGTTTGCTTTGTATTATTCAATCCTGCCTCAAGAAGAAAGAACGACAAAGAGGTTTTGAATTATCATCAAATCTAGGGAGCGCGTATCGGGACCTTGCTAACTGTGGGAGGGCGATATTGACCCTCAAATAGCAACCACCAGTTGACGCTAATCGTAAGATTCGGCTTAGGCAGGGTGGCCAAGGGTCGCAGTCTTCAATCCTAGCTTTTGAGGGGATTCAATTCGGTTATGAACCATACTAGGTTGCTCCTCTAAGACATGAGTGAATGCTGTTTATGGTACAGGACGCCATATAGACAGGTATGTAGCTCTCATTGCGTATGGAAACTTCTACTTTGATTCCCGGAGCAGCAAGAGTCCATTGCCATGCATCATGAGGCTTTGACTGCGGGGAAATGCGCATGGAGGTTAGAGATCATCACGGTGGGGAGCTACTCATCAATGTAGAACTGTTTTATCAACAGAGAAAGCCCAAAGAAGGTGGGAAACGACGGGGAGAAGAGGGTGAGAAAGCGCCTAGAAGACAAGTTGGTGCGTCAATATGATGAGCTCTTTCACTAGCCTACTATTGAATACCTTCCATGATCTAATATTGACGAGTTAGGGTCATTCCCTCGACGCCATATTGACACCTCTCATACTACTGAGAGACTATTAACCGTGGATAGTTTATGAATATATTCTCCTATGGCTGTCATTTCATGGAACTATTATATAACCGCAAGAGTACGAAATAGGGAATGTATATGAACGCGGTTAAGCATGAAAATGGAGCGAATTTACTAAACAAGCGTTGTTCCGGCTGAAGATCTTACGTGAATGACTCAATTCATAGAAAGGAAGGGAGTGTCTTATGTTCATTCGAAGCGAATAAAGGTAAGGTATACATTTACTGTCTGTGAATATCATGACACTGACCTTCTTTAAGGAATGTCTTCTGCCTGGGCCAGAGGCCATGCGCTTACAGGTTTGGATCCTCTTGGACAAGAAAATGTAGGGTGAGCGTTGCACGCGGAAAGCCTTACAGTTCCAACTAATGACCATAGTGATGAAAGGAGAAATTGATTCATTGACATGTTAAATCTGTTTATGAACGCTTACTGGGTAGATGAAAAGCTCGGGGAGGAGAATTGGGGGGAATTTATTTTCCGGGGGGGAAAGTAAACGGCAGATCAACATTCTACATTAATCGTAGATCCATGCTGATCCCTGTTTGTTGCTCATGCATCGCAGCATTCCGTTCACTATGTAATTCTGGAAAATAGTTGTGAAATAAGGATATCAATATCAGTAGTTATTGCATTATCTTGCCAGCTTGGCCACTGGATGTACCAGCATTAATACCTAGCCTATCGCTATTAGCGGTGCCTAACTCTGTAATACAGCCTACAGTAACTTCCAAATACCATCCAATAACTAACCTTATCACTCCAAGTACCAAAAACAAACAACATTATTCTATAGAATATAAACAGGATTTCCTCTCCTTTCTAAGTAGAGAGTACGAGCATCTGTTGCCTTTATAGAATTGCGATCGCGTTACCAGACTGGGTTCAAAGTCGTACGGGTTTAGTAATATGAGCAGAATAATCATAAATGATGAAAAGATTGTTAAGATATTCTTGATAGTTCAGGACCAGAGAGGAAACCTGCTTTGGCTTCGGATATCTTGGAAACCATACCACACTTAAGTCATATATTTCCTAGCTTATGGTATGGAATGTTATTCGCTTGCTTTCGAATGGGGGAAAAAAATTAGGAATAGCGTGTTGAAAGTTGATCCTGAGAGTGCCTATGCCTTGCTCGCGCCTGGGGTATCTTACTTTGACTTCCATGCGTGCTTGGTCAGGCATAACTTGCGGGATCAAGTGTGGGGAGACGTGCCTGATGTCGGTGGCAGTTCGGTTATTGGGAATATGCTCGAAAGAGGCGCAGGATATACTCCATATGGTGATCACTGGTAAGCTGTTAGACGTAATTGTGCCCAAAGGAGATCAGCTAATGACCTGTTCACAGGATGATGCGCTGCGGATGGCTCACTTTGCATTGGGATGGGCGCTTTGTTGAACCCTAAAGCGGACAAGAGCAAGCCGCCCATGAACAGGAACCAAACGAGAGCCGGCAGTTATTTGACTATGGTCTCGGTCCGCAGAGTGGTATATTGTCTGAGTCGCCTCTTGGAATAATCGTGAGAATGGGAATCTGGCTTATGCCTAACCCTGGCGGGTATCAGGCGTACATGATTACCTTTCCCAGGGACAATGACTTGGATCAGATTTTGTGGAGATACTCCGACTCTTGAGAATCTCCGGGGGTAATTCAGAACACATTCAAGCTGGATAACGTCCTAGTTAGTGCCGCCCTGCAGGTATGTCCGCCGAGCTATTGAATGCTCATTATCGGTATCTCACGCTGAATTTCCTAAAGCCACCGCACCAAATACACAATTACACCGATTCCAACAAGCTGCTAACCGACCTCAAGTGAGATGAGATCGCCCAAAACCTCACTGTCGGTCGCTGGAATCTCTACAGAGCGATGTACGGCTCACCCATTATTCGCGACGCTCTCTAGTCCGTCATCAAAGCGTCCTTCAGCAAGATCGCCGGCGCCAAGTTCTATTTCCCCGAAGATCGTCCCAACGACATCGCTCTACAAACCCGAAGCGATACAATGCAACGGACCCCATTCACAACCGAGCTTGGATTATTGTCCTGGCTTCCCAACAGCGGACATCTATTCTTCTCCCCAATCACCAAAATAACTGGACCCGATGCCAAAGCACAGGACGACATCACTCGCCGCTTAATCGAGGAATACGGCTTCGACTTTATTGGCGTGTTCTTCACCACATCGTCTGCATCCTGTTTGATCAGAAAGATCCCGATTCGAGACGTCGGGCTTATGAGCTTATCCAGGTTCTGACCGCGGAGGCGGCAGACCGGGGATGGGGTGAATATCGCGCTCATCTCGTGCTGATAGACCAGATTGCCGAAATTTACAGCTTCAATGGCAATGCTCAGATGAAATAAAACGAGACGTTGAAGAACACGCTTGATCCGAAGGGGGTCTTGTGTCCTGGAAAGAATGATGTTTGGCCTGCCAATTACCGTAAGGAAGATTGGTGTCTACCAAGACCATAACATTGCCCAGCCAATCTTTATACGCAAGGCTCATAAGTAGATTGAAGGCTAGTAGAAATTAGTAACTGAAGCTAAAGACCTGATCCGAGCAAGCTCTGGATAGTCCGACGGGCCGAACCGATCCGCCAAATCAAAACTTCCCATGGGACCGTTAGCACTTGGCAGCAGCGATAGAAAACTGGTTTTTGTCGGATATTAAAGCAAGAAAAATTAAATCTACTAACTGGTACATCTGAAACAATAAAATTTTCTTAGTACTATAGTAGCTTTTCAAAATTCTGTCTTGCTATTCGCTTGGTTTTTTGCTTAGGGTTCATACATTTCTCCGCCCCGGTCTTGCGGGGATGGCATCGTAGCCAAGCTTGTGAGTTTCCTGATTTTTGGGAAGAGGGGCGACTAAACAGACGATCAACACAAAAGAATTTTTTTTTTTCTTTTTTCGTTTCCTTATGCCAAAATGTTCGGGCGATTACACTGGCCGAACATATAATTTTATGCTCATCTAAATAGGGGTTCTGGTTTGCCCGAGCTCAGGCGATCTCGAGTTCCTGTGAGCATTAGTTTTGTTCTTAGGTCAGTCTAGCTAGGAAATTTTAAGCGACTCTATAAGGGTAGAAGCACCGAAGACATGCATGCATATCTACTATAAAACACGTGAAATACCACCTAAATAGGAAATTAGTATCCAAATTAATCATTATCTCATTCATCTCAGTAAGTGATCGAAGCGACAGTGACGTTTCCATATACTTCATTTGCTCATACTACATAGAATTAAAGCATCTCAGAAGCCAGAACGTCTTCAAAAAGGAAAGTAACTAACAAAATAATTCTTATATTGAAGCCCCACAACGCGAGTCCTGTTAGCCTCCTGTTCAACCGCTAAGGCAAATATACTCCGTAGAGGTCTTTCCACCTCGAGTTAACGCGGACATAGACCGAGTGTGGGGGCACATAGCTAAAGTTGTTTATTTCAAGTGTTTATTTACTATTCAAGTGTTTATTACATACTATGGCAATCTACATCATCAATTTATCTCTTCTTATTGATGGCAATTCTGTTCCACATATACTTTAGTAGTACAGCCCTTTTCACGAAGCTTGAACGAGAAGGGACTATCATAAAATGTTGGCTTACACCGATATTGGAACATATTGGAAAGCTGTGGCCGACAACGTATGTTTATTACGTAAAATGATAAATTGACGGGGCTTCCACAACCCTAAATGTTGACGTGTGGTGGGTACCTTAGTTCCTTGGATCGTTTTGTCTAGCTTTTTCTGGCATGAGAATGCTTATATTACCTAGAAGGGATGTATACAATTCTAGAATTTGGTAAATACTAACCCTAACAAGGTGATGGTAGTTGCTGGGGATCGAGTTGCTGGTTTACCTTTTCACAGGTATGTCGCAGAAGTGGAAGTACTTTATAGCTGAGTGGATCACCTCTTTGTCTTCATGGTATGGAGTATGAGATATGGGCATTTTGTGGAGTTTGAATGAGTTAAGTCGATGGTGCAGTCTGAGAGGTTAACCCGTGCCATTGAAGGTATATCATGTCTTGAGATGGATAAGTCTTGATATTATGACCGAAGGGTTGAGGCTTTGTAGTCAGTGAAGGAGGTTTAACTTGCTGTTGGTGATGATTGTATATGCTGGAGAACTTATTCTAGTGTTCTTGCAATGTTTGCCACTGTAGGTACTCAAGTAGCTCTGCGGCTGGTTGCAAGCTGGTGGAAGCTGCTTAAAACAACATCTAAATTTCAAGTGAGGTATACAGGAGCGGTCTTACTGTCTTAGTATACACAGTTCAATTTCTCGTCCTATACACTGCATTAGATAAGGTCCCATACCAGTGAGGTATCGCTTTTAGTGATTCCCTCTTACGATCAATGATTTGCTTATGCGATTTGGGAAGACTAATCTTGAGCACTACCTATCGATTCCGGTACCAGCTACCCCTAGAGTAATAGGTGCCGACAAGGTAATGTATACCTTACCTACTAAATAGTCTACAGTATGACTAGCCCATGTGCAAGTCACAGCGGAGACACTCTGATCATCGCTGATATCCATCGGTCTAACCCATGAAACCTGAAGATCCATTATCGGGCATATTCATAAGGAGTGGAGACCATGACACAGGCAGAAAGGGAATGCAAAGATTGCGAACAAGGCCGTTGCGCTATGGGTCGTTTGATAAACAGCGTTTGATGTCAATGCCTTTGCTGGACTGTGCCTAGCCTCGTCTAATATATATTAATAACCCATCAGAACTCTGGACATGTTTCTAAAAGTCGTCTGTCTACACGGTGTGCTACTGATCGAATCATAAAAATAGATACTAGTGGGGTTTCTCTGAATCTGCATTGTTGCTTACGCGGGGGCTGTAACCGCCCACTAACTACTCTAGTAACAACAGCAGGAAGCTATCCTATAAGACTGCGATGGCCATGGCGCAGTGTCCAGACGACAGAAAATTGTGCGTTCGAATTATTCATAAAAGGCATGTAAAATTTAGAGGAAAGAGATAATGTCCTAAGGGAGGGATTTAGAGGAGCACTGGGAAACAAATTATAAAAACAATAGCATCCCAAAAAAAAAAAAAGTGGCTACTCTGCAGACCCCCATTTGTGCAAGAGGGTGCAGGAAGCCCGGGACATCCTGGAGGGACAGGAGGGTAGACCGCCATTTGATTGGGGGGGTGTCCGCTGTGGTGAAGGCGAAAAGTAAGCGGCCAGGGTCGAGACCCGCTTAGGCATTATGTCATGTCATGTTGGTTAGCGACCGCCCCGAAAGACCTGTGGCGACGTGCGCCATTTGTTTACCCTTCCCCCAAAGACTGTGAGGGCGTGAAGCGGATAGCGATGGCCTCGTGTTCTTACCCTCAGAATAGAATGTAGAATAAAGAATGTTGAACTTGGGACTGTAGTCCATCTATGGCATCCGTTAGTTAATCCAATCACAGGTTCTAGGATTGCAAAATCAACTACATTCGTTGGAGGCACTGTAGGGGTACCTCCAAATCAGGCAGAACCTTTCGTCAGTGTTGCGTGGGCTAATGCGCCTGTCCAAAGTTCGGTCGAAACCTTTCCATTTGAGTTCTGTTATCTGTTACTTGTGCGTTTCCGAGTTGAATTAACCGGTTCAACTTTTTATTCGTCTAGCAAAAATCCTCAAGAATATACCAGAGAAAAAGCGTGGTGAGGGAAAGAAAGCAGAAAGCGCCTCAGTAGATGCGAATCATTGTCGGGTGCAGCGGGGTACAGCACAGTAGCTCTGTAGCTCTCGCGAGCGCATCCATGGAGGGGCAAAACAAAAGTACTCCAGCTCTACCCGGGACACGACAACGTGTTGACGAAGTTCAAACAAAGGTACAAAGAAAGTAAAAAAAAAAAAAAGAGAAGAGAAAAGAAGAGAGAAGAGAAGGAAAAATGAAGAGTCCTACTCTTCATATATACATTATTTTTTTTATTTGCCCACCCAAACATGGGTCGATTAATCAATCCAAGAAAAAAGGTCAAAACAAATACTACCAAAAATCCCGGGCTGTGCAGTGGATAGACGGGGGTGGTGTGTGTTGGTTACGCATTGCAAACAAAATCTGTTGGCGACTTTGGGAGTGGACATTGAACACCGTAGGCACAGCACTAGTGGGTTTCAAGTATTCTTGGTGTGCGACCCCAGGGGAGGGGGCAAACGACGAAGCCTTGAGACTTGAGTAGGCGCCCGGCACCCGGGTTAGCATGTGTAGGCCTTCTGGCGGCGCGGGGGGGAAGGAAGGAAGGAAGGAAGAGAATACTAGGACCGGGACAGGCTGCACTGCAGTGCAACCGAGAGTTGGCCGGCGCTTAACGGAGGGACAGGAAGACTCAGCACCCTGCGGCCCCGGCGGTCGCAGAATCCTACGGGAGACTACTAGTAGTACTACTAGTAGTAGTAACGGGAGCTCTGTTGAAGATTGCCAGCACCTCGACAAGGCTTGAAGCACACTAGTGAGCTCCCCGAGCCCACTGTCCTAGGGCCCCTAAGCCTAAAACAGCGACTCAGCAGCACTTCAGGCTTTCAGCGCCCTTCAGCGCCCACTATTTAGTAGGGTCTATTCCCCCCCTCTACCGCGACCCCGCTAGCGAAATTTTCTTTTTCTTTTTTCCCTCTTACTAAAACCCAATAGTCTTCTCTTCTCTTTCTCTCTCTCTCTCTCTTTTTCTCCGTGCCCTTCTCACCAAAAGCAAAAATTATCCGAAATTTCTTTCTCAGTGAAGTTTCACTGTCTCTTGAGTCATGTCGCGCAAAGACGACACCGTCACCGTCAACGTTGACGATTTCACTAGAACCCGCGATAGCGTAAGTCGCCCCTTGTTTACTGTCCGCCGGTCGCGCCCGACTGGGGTGTCCGGCGCAGCGCTCAGGTCTTCTCCCTGCTCATCACGCGTCCTACAACAACCACGCCCGCTTTGTGGCTTACTCCTCTCCCCCCCCCCCTTTGGAATTCCCCTTGCAACTTACATTTCATGTTTGTAAATTACCATTAAACCAACCTGGGTAGCTTCACGTCGGATCAATTCTTGACATTACCCGTAACTTGATCTCGTGCTTGTTCCGTTGTTTACCTTGATCGAGCTTGTTTCTCCACACACCCTTCACAATGACTAAACGCGCCTCGATCCCTGATCGAGGTCAGTTGTCATTGGACCTTATTACTTCTATCGCCCGCGCTACTAATTCCGTCAATGCGGCTACCTCTGGCATCCGCGCTGTCGCTTCTTTCCCCCAAGCTCAACTAACGTACGCGCAGGTGATCGTTAGTCTCGCGCAACTCCAGGCGGCCGTCTCCAAGCTGTCGGAGGCTTATATTAACCATGCGAACACCGTACTAAACCGTGGCCCCACGGTCGACATTGGGAACATCGCCAGCATCACTAACTCGCTCTATGAAAGCGGTTTGCTGGGCGCCCTCGGCGGTGCTCGCG